ATAGATTGCACTTTCTCTCATCTGTAGGTTTCGTTAGCTAGACCAGAGTGATCGAGGCACTCAGTGGCCATTCTGTCCGCTTGGGGCCAAGTACATCAGCGGTTTACCAGGGTAAATTCAGCTCACAAAGGGGAATTGTGCAAACCAGCGGCATCTGAATGTTTCTATATACACTACATAGAATGATCAATTTGAAAATAATTTACAATATTCACGGTTCACATAGAGACTCCTGATAACTGGGTAGTTTTTCAAATCAACCACAAGGTTCCCGTTGGAAACCACTCATCTTAGATCCTGGAGATCACGCCTTGTCATTCAGTCGATGCGTTCGGCACAGATAGAGAGTTGAAAAACTACTGAGTTGTCAGCGGTACCAATATGAACTGTGTATTTTGTAAACCATTTGCAACTTGATCATTGTATTCAAATTAATACAAAGTAAATAAATTTGTATCTGTAACTCTATAGGTAAACACTGCCAATTAGAAACAATCTGGATAGGGGAAAATGAATGGATTGATACTGAAATTTAACCGCCATAGAAACAAAGAATAGCTGTTTCGTTCTAGCATTGAACTCCTCAGCAGTGTGCACTCCTGACCCCGCTACAAGTAGAGCCCATGACCTTCATGTTCCGAGGTCAATAATCTACCAATGAACCACTAGGTGACAGCGTGACAGCCCACATTTCCCACTTCTGTCAGTTCACCATATACCATAGAGATGTTAAACTTTTGTTTGTAATGTGTTCTCTGAGCTGTGAGAAAGTGGTCATCTTCTTCTCCTTAGTCTATATGAACAACTGGTTATTAAATGTCACGATATTTTATCACTCATTTCAATGAACGTGAGTACCTATGGACATGAATTCAATTTTGACAATGTAAAAATCTTGGACACAAAGAATATGAGAGAATTCCTAGGAGCTTGACATTCAGGTCAGTCATGAGTCAGTGAGTAAAATGGGATCCGACAAAAAGGTCAGAGATTAAGCAGAGGAACAATCAACAGGAAAATCTGTACCGTCAGTGACACAACAATCAAAGGAAACAACCAATCACAGACCACATCATCGGAGCAAGTCACTAAATCACTCACTGACGGAGAGATACTGACAGTTCCCTTCATACTGAAGTTAGTGCTGACGATGTTGTCTAGAAAAATGATGAAAGCCTTACGATTAAACAATCCAGCTCAGAGAACACAATACAACCAAGATCATCCACCCTAGCTACGAATATTCTCCACCATTTCAAAATCATACGGATGTTAAACTTTACTTGTTTCACATATTGGTTGTCAATTCGACAATCAACGACTAAGTGCCTACTTCTTGTCTGTATGTGTCTTAGCTGGCTTGAAAACTGTCAGTATGTTGGCGTATTATATAAACCACTCTGCTTTCATATTATATGGTGCACAGTTCACATCTCCGACTGTGCTTCTTTCCTCCTTAGTTTCTCCATCAAAGCTGTGGATAAATTTCTGTATTCTGAATAGTAGTTATGATTCGAAGATTTGGTCTTTTAACTAAAGTGACAAAGCGAAATAATAAGAAATATGCAAACAATGCTAGTGAAACGCTTGGATGGAATACGAATAGAGATTGTTCTCCCTTAGTACCTTATACTTCACTGAGTAGCGGAAACATCAGAAGTCAAAGACCGGCCTGTAATTGTAAGGAGGACGCTTTATTTAACGAAAATATAACATTTTTATGCAGTTTTCATACACATATAAAGCCACTAGGTCAGAAGTTGGATATTTATTTTCATTGGCCAGCTGAAGGACAAAATTGTCCAATAAGGTTTTTCCTGCCCATACAACTACGTGAACAAGGTCAAAATCCAAAACACTTCTACATAAGTGGCTGATAACTTAAAATGTTAATTTCCATTTAGGTCACTTTCTATCACATATTGTTTTGGAGAATGTTTAAGAAACGTAAATATGCTTAACAAAACCAGAAGTTTCATTGAAATAATTACACTTATGAATATGTAACAGATCACCTGGTTCTAATGTACACAGGAATGATGAATCAGGTTAAAATAAGATCCAAAACACTTTTCATCAAAGAAGGACAAACATTTCAGCCAACAGCCCTTTATTCAGCGAGTTCATTCTCAAAACTTTGCAATCTCAAATTTATACATTTCTTTCTTGATTAGAAAGAGTATAGAAGTGAGAAAGAATGGTAAATTACACAAGAAGTGAACGGGATACAAAGAAAGAGGTGATTTCAAAGACTGAAAACTAAGAACATGAAAGCAGAAGAGGACAAATAATTTCCTTTTGTGTAAAAAGTTCAAGTTTCTTCATGTGGGTGGCAAGAGCTTCGGTGATGCAGAGAATACAAATACATACAGTCTTTGGGAGGTTTCTTTTCCCTTTATAAACTTCTTTAAATGAGGAGGTTCTTTAGGTACAAGGACCCTTGTCCATAACGTGTTCAACTGACAGACTTCTAATCAACTTACTCTTACCTTTTTCTAACCTTGTAGGAAAGCGTTTCTGAACCCTTTTGTGAAACAGTCACATCTTTGTCTCCTTAAGAGTAGCTTAACTAGTATAGGTCATAGGTTACTAATCTTGTTAAAGAGATTAATTTGATAGAAAAGTTTGTTTTCATCTGGTCGATGCACACTACTGGCTAATATCAGTCGTTAGAAACTATTTTGAATGATAAGTAATTCTTACCTCAACAAATAGACTTTCTGAACTGAACAATTGCAGGTCCTTTTCTCCAAAAACAAGCAAAATGGTGGTCCTCTGTTTAGACCACCAACAGTCGGTTAGTAACCAATGCTTTTTGATTATAATGAATGGAAAGACAATTACGTTGTTCAACTGTATATATCACACAGCCATCCACTCTATTTCTTGATACAACTCCCAGTACTGAACGGAATGCAGTTGGTGGTCAATCATCATCATTATTATTATCACAGACTGCGCTTACTTCTAGGTCAAAATTGTCTGAAACTTCTAGTGTCTTTTTGAATCCAATGTGCCACAACCTAGAATTTTGTTGAAGTCTCTTCATGATTATCAGTTTAATTATCTGAGATAGCCGTCGCTCAACAGACTTGTATTGACACTAAACGATGATTTAAGGTGAAATAGAAATCTGAATCACGGCACGATTCCGACCAGAAACGTCAATCAGATCTCTTAGCTCAGTTGGTAGAGCAACAGCTGGGTGTTTTTTCAACATTACTGACATTATTGGGATATGTCATTCTATACCTAGCTAAATTCCTATGCTCCGTTTATCTAACTGACCTCGATCAGATAGCTTGGCCTATGTAATTGACCTCACATTCATTGCATGGAATCTGATAGATTAGATTATTTTCCTTAACTGGATTTATCAGATCCTTAAGCCAGATGACAAAGCTTATCTCTGAGTGAGTTTATAGGTTTAAATACCAACCTAACTCCGGCTTTGTTGAAAATCCTACATAAGGTTTCTGACGTACCTTTCTTATAGAGTAAGACAAGAGAGGCTATGAACTCCTTTCTACTCATGTTGTTACCATTATCCGTATTCGTATTACTGTTATTATTTAGCTCCTTTTGTGTTCATACAAATTCCTGAATAAACGGCAGAGGATAACTATCAGTTATTATCGCTTCTTTTATATGCTTCACTTCCTTGTTTAGTTTGTCACATTGAATAATTAGTTTTCCAACTCCATCATTTAGACATCTGACTAAACCTGCCTTAACTGACTGACATGGATGAGATGCCATGAAGTCTAGATACCCGTTGGGATGTATTGGTTTCCCGTAGATGGTGATATCCTTCGTTTTATCCTGCAATCTAACATAGGTATTTCAACTTTTTCATTTACTACTTCGTTAGCGAATTGGATTGCGCCTACTACTGCGTTTATATGTATGAGGAAATTGGTTATACGTTCCGATTTCAACACAATAAATATGTAATCCATATATCACCATCATATCTTCAGTGCAGGATTAAACGTTCGTTAAGCCGTAGTTTCCCAATATGTATGATACGATTGAGGATATTGGCTATCCCATTCCTACTCCCACTGTTTGTCTGTATACTTTGTCTTGAAACTTGAAGATTGTGGAGTCCAGGCACAAATGTATGCATAACATGATCTCACCAACCAATATCTTAGTTTTGCGAGTAAGTTCTGAGTCAATATTTAGCTGACTTCTGACTACCTCTAGTGCCATGTTAATTGGTATTTTAGTATACAGACTAGTTACATCGAAACTAACAATTTTTTAACTCTCTTCTATGTGTAAGTCATTAGTTTTAACTCGTAAGAACTGACTAGTCTGGAGTTTGAACAGTACCTAATAGGGCACATTATCGATGCTAAGTACTTTACTAGTCCATATATTGGAGTATTACTTAAATCGACTATGGGTCTAACGGGATAATCTGGTCTTTAAGCCCTAGTATTAACAAGTTCCGTGGTAGCCGTTAAACAGTTGGTAAAGTGCTTGGCTAGAAAAATAGCGGCTTTTCGTTCGAGTACTGCCAGAACCCAAATTTTCTTTTCTCCTTCAGTTGTCACTAATTATCAATATTTTCAGGAGACAAATAAAGTTACTTACTAGTCTAATCTTGCAATCAATCCTCATAGATTATCTCAAGAGTACTAGATTCACTTAGGTGTACCCATAAACACCCAAATAGGAACGAAATGTTTCTGTAAGGTTGTTAAACTGTAGGAGACCTCCGTCAAAGGATTCACATGATTTCCATAGTCTTAAGGATGAGTATTCAGTTTTCCTGATTTACCAATAAGCATGAATTAATCCAGTCACAAGCAAGTTGTATGATATCAGTTTTACCACTGAAGTATTCAAAACACTTCCAAAACATCACTTTTCTTTCGCTTCAGAATATATTTCTTGCAGTTTCCAACTTCTATATTAATTCATTTCTGAAACGAAGTTACTCACTGAATTTACTAAGAGTTGAAAACTAAATGTTATTGATTTTTCTTCAGTGAAACGTGATCCTATAAGTGGTACAGCAGAAGGTGGTCGAGAATGCGAATCCATTCATCAATACAACGGGCGACAGTGCAATGAAGAGACTTCTAAAAGATATTCTTATCGTAAGTAGACGTGATAATTTGAATTACTCAGATAGTTAAAAACAGTTTTAGCTGACAAGTGAATTATTTTAGATAAGCATAGATAAAGTATAATCGTATTTATTATCATACCGTCGTTGATTGGACCGAATTGATCAATCTCTATTGGCAGATGGGCTCCTGTGCCGATGCCTCGATACTGCCTGCGTTCTAATTATATTAATGATGGATTGTGACTAGCAGTGGAATCCAGGATGCGCACTTCGTCCTATTTGCGACTCGTCACCTGGATGTATCTGCTTCCCAGTGTGTTGTTCCCACCGGGATTCGGACTTGGGAGCGATCGCTTCAAACGCCAGGGCGTTATCCAGTCCAATCAATGACGGTATGATAATAAAAACAATTATACTAAAACTATACCAGTCGCACAAGAAGTGGTTATCGTGGCTCAGCGGTGTTGTCGATAACGCCCTAGTGTTTGGAGCGATTGCTCCCAAGTCCAAATCCCCGTGGGAACAATCACTGGGAAGCAGGTACATCCGTCTGATGAGTCCCAAATAAGACGAAGTGTGTATTTTGAACTCCACTGCTAGCCACAGTCCATCATTAATATAGACAGTAAAAGTTTGAAATATGAGACATCTAGACTGCTCCCATTAGTGCGTCACCAAATGAGAACGTAAACACACTTAAGTATTCTGACCTTCTTCTCAATGAGGTTTCAATTTACACTGCTTAGTATTCACATTATGCGAGCAAAACCCATATTGGCCTTGTCTGCTTTCAGTAAGACATTAACTCACAATGAATTGTATTAAAAATTAAATTTCCACTAACTAATTGCCTCAGTATTAGGAAATTCAATTCAATGTGTTATACTGAGAAACGTTTGCTCTAAGTGTAAAAGAAATGTCCGAACTTTTCTTCAAAGGTATTGTTTTAATCCGAAAGGTCATTTCCTCACATGATTAAATTAATATCCATTCCCGTATATTGTGTCCAGTAGAAATAGACCTGGAGAGGGATCAATACACTGAACCGTTTCTAATTTTAAAACAGTTCTCATACTACTACTTGAGTTATGCAAGTAAAAAGTTATCATAATTCTAAAGACCAACTGGAATCAGGTTACAGTATATGAAGGAAATTAGCAGTGCAAATAATATCAATCATGCACTAGACTTACATAGAAATCCTTGGTTCTCAGCTTTCCAGAAATTTACGATTTTCGGAAGTATACAAATAATCAGAGGCTACTTTATTTACTGTCAAACTTTATACTACTTACAGTTTGTCAGTACAATAATGTCTTTTTGGAAATTTACCACTGACTGATGCAGAGAGTAATAGAGTATTGAGAAAAAATTCCTCATTAATAAAGCTGGTTATATTTTACCACGAAAATCTTATTTCTATCACCATTTACTAAAAATTTTACATAGATGAAGTAAGTGGAATGAAGCTATGCAAATAACTACCTTAACTGTATGTTTTGGCTTTTTTCCTTTAGTTGCAACGGATCCAATAACACATTCACTGCCAGAAACAAAACTTGTTCGTTCACAGTCAGTACGACACTACAAGGAAGCATGGTGTAAGTGATATTTCACTGACTTCTAATCAGAAATATATTTCGATCATATGCTATTCAGAACTACTGAGGGAGTTATCAGACAACTAGTTTGTATTGTAGTATATCAGCGTGTGAGTGTTCTGTGATCCAAGAATAAAACACTTATACGTGATTGGCTGAAATTCTCCTTGGTTTAGATAGGTTACTTATAGTTGAATGAATCTTACTTATGTCGGGTATCCTAATTTACAAAATTTCTACCAAACAAAATCAATCCTATTTGACTGCTATCAGTCAAACACTTGGGTATTCATATTTTCAGTCACAGTAAGATTGAAATTTATTCTCCAAAGCATATGAAACTTGTTCAGTACATTTCTTCTCTTCAGTTTAAGCTGATATGTGCCTATTTATTCCCCATTTGAAAATGTATTTGAAGCTGATTTTTCACCAGTCCTCATCCAATACTCTGTCAGGGACACAACCTTCAGCTAAAAGTAGTGATGAGATTCCTTTGCTTTTTATTCCTCTACAGGAAACCATAGTTCTTAAACTTTTTGCATAGAAAATGGTTTTCTTAGTCGAAAGGAATATATCAGGGAATGAAAATCTGCATCAATAGTATACACAAATTTGTGAAGAGACAACGTTCAACTTTAAATAAGACGTCTGAATTCACTGTTCAGTATCTGGAGAAGCTATATGGATGATGGCTCCTGTCATAAGCTTCACACCGTGACAGCTTTGAACTAAACGATACTAGCTTGATGATCAGTTTTATGGATGAGTTACTTCCTGATTTAGCCAACATTGATTCATTGATAAAAGATCAGTCTAAGGTCACATCAGAAATACTATGAGTCGTATCACATAGCCGACGCAATTATAGATTGCATGAATCTGTGAATAAACCATATGTTTGATGTCTCCAATTCATTGTCACTTAATTTAAAGTCTTTAGCGATTAGGAACCCGCTTCAGTTTACTTAATGATTCACATTCTTGGCAGAAACTCATCAATCTGACACTTTGGGATCAGAACATAAGCAAAGAGTTATCAACGACATAGCACCTGGTATAACTACTTATCATTTCAGATTGCAAACAATACATCAGCACGTCTAGATGGAACTCCACTGAGATTAACACAATGAAATACTAAACAATTTCAAGTATTATTTGTTTGACTATCTGAGATAGACGTGGCTTGTATTGAAAATGGGTGACGACTGAAGGTGAAATGAAAATCTTGGCCACCAGGGGATTTAAATCAATGACCTGCTGCGGCCTAGATATTCAGTTCACCTTCAGTCATCCCCTAGTATTAATATTGGCTACCATGAAATACCAATAGCTAAATAAGTAAACACAAAGATTAAAATGAATGATACCATGATCTATAGGAAGTAGAATAGGAAAGAATCTGCATGGATTTGAACAATTTTGTTAGTTCCACTGACCACAGTTAGTAAGCCTTCACTTCACCACGTTACTTGGTGCAATAGTTGTTCACTGAATGGACTCTTCGATATCCTAATTTAACTTAGTTTAGACGGCTTCCAACTTGATTCTATTCCAACCAGTATGACGCATCATGATAGACATCGGGTGAGTTTATGGAACGCATGTCTTAGCAACTCCCAACAATATAGTTTTACACTCCTGTAGACTAACTGACATCCTTTACCAAGTATTCTGTACCTAACTTTGGCGTCGGCCACATGACATTCATGCCGTAAGTGGCTGATACTATGGTAGAAATAATAATCAGGTACCTATGAGTTTTGAAAACTCAGCATCTTAAGTGGCTAGGTTTCACAGTCACATAGTTGAATAAAGTGCAGTATTGCTGGTCACCACCTCACCGGCATTGATTTGAACTCTCGAACGAGTGAATTGGTCAGGTAAGAGATATCAGTCTTAAAGAAGATAATCTCATACTGTCATTAACTTGCTAAATTTTGCCAGCTTTCCAATGTGATACGAATATTTTGTTTGTTTACTAAGTCAAATAATGAATATTCTACACGAAGACTGATCCCTGAAGAGAGAGAAACAGAAAGTATGAACTCCACTAAAGTATTCTCAGGTGATGCCATTCATCATTTTCTGGATACAACTTTGAGCCATGTATTCAAATCTTTCTCAATCAGTTTACTAGGAACTGTTTCTTGAAATGTTGACTAACTAACATTTGAATGTTATTAAGACATCGCTTTTTCAAAGATGTGAACCCTGTAAATAACTTTCAGAGTTAGAATAAACATTGGAAGTCGTTTTTATAATAGGAGTCTGTCACTATCATTCTCTTTAAGACATTCGTTGGTCTAAATACGATGCCAACAGCATCATCATCAGCACCGTTCAAACATTGGCCTTTCCGTTTACAGGACACATCATACTTTTTAGGGTAAAAACAGTAAACTGTGTTATGTCGGGAATGAGAAATGAAAAAATAGAATGTATATGGAATAGGGAGATCGATTTGCAAGTGATTTACAGATTGCATGGTCGACGTTGACACTTCTCACAGCTGAGTAGTTTTTCAACTCATCAACTTTGATGTTAACAGGATTTCCGTTACAAAGCACCTTTCAACCAAGATTTATTATACAGAAGTGTCATAAACTAGAGAAAGACACTACTAATGAAAAACAACCAGGAACCATTCAGTCTGATCTTTCGACTTCCTAGTCAAATCAGAGTGATATAAAAACCAGACCACTGTCTCGCTCGTTTGTAGTTGAGATAGTCGGCGGTATAGCCGAACAAATTCACGTCACAGGGTTGAATTAATTCAGATCATTTGAATCTGGCTGGGTGGCTAGCTGACTTGCATGGAAGGCTATACCTTAAATAGGATAATAGGTTTGCAAATGATTTGCATATTTTATGGTTCGTATTGGTTACTACTTAAGGTATACCTGTCCATGAAAGTCAAATAGCCAATCAGATTCAGGTGATCTGAACTAATTCAACTCTATAACCTGATATTGTCCGTACACACCGCTGATGAAGTTGATCGCAAACGTGCGAAATGGCCATCCGATGATTAAACCATTTTGATCTGGCTGTCAAAATCGACAGATCAGTCTGAATGATTTCTAACTACTTTATTTGTTTATTAGTACAATTACCACGTATTTGATTTCTGCGGACTAGTTATTAAGTTGATCAAAATAAGAAATATATCTGTCTAGTTGTTTTCTTAATAACCTGGCAGCCAAATTGAAATACTTCCAGAGTTCACAGTGATATAGGCCTTATTTGATACCCAGCGACCAAAGAAGTTCTTTCAGGAATTCATTAGAACCTCGTCACCAGAAAGGATGTGCGTAATCTCAACAAACAAACAACATTCTTTTACACCATCTCCAACAACTACAATTTCTTTTGGGAGGGGGGACAACTATTTCTGAAATGAATTTCAACTAACTTATATAATGGTCATGCTTTGGCTGAAGATGTTTTTGATCAACTTTGGAAGGAATGAAATTCCGCTAAACAATAAGAAGAAGCATTTTAAAACCTACTGGGAGGTTATCATAGAACGATTCCTATTTAGCAGTGAGGTGCATGGGACGATAATTCACAACATTAACAAAACGATGGGATGCATGGCTTTGAAAAGAAGGTAATTATTTATCTTTGAGTGACGTCCTAGATTCCAGGAAATATATTCATTCCCATTTATTTTGGAAGCATCACTTGGTCACGTCTGTATCCCATTCAGGATTGATGTCCACACAGAGACAATGACCTGGCACTCATCACTGCAAACAGTTATGGAGCTATTCACCAAGCTAATTAATCATTAAACCTACTTGTTTCAAAAAGTGAAAGCCACAGAATCACAACATTATGCGTCAAGTGATTTAGCAGGTTAATCAAAGTGGTATGCTATCACGCGTGTAACTGCCTCGCATGATCTGTGGCTATACATTGCACTGGTCAGCTTTATTTCTGGCCATCAGTTCTTCTTGGAAGATAGGCTTGAAAAATGCGGTCCCAAAAAGCATCACATCTGTTCAGTATCTTCCATTATGCATCAGATATATCTGTTAAAACATGTTTATTTTCCACCTCTCAGAAATTATACTTAGACTGAGAAGACGTGATGGGAGAGTAGAAACCTAGTCGGATGTGATGATAAATACTCAACGATGCCACTGAATGATACTGGCGCTACACTGCGAATTATTAGAAGTAGGAGAATATGGACTATTAGGTCCCCACCCGGTGGGCCAGTGGTAAGGTGGCCACCACAGAACATGAAGGTCCTGGCTTCCACTCCTGGATGGGTCGTGAAACCCCACTACTTAAGACAAAACAGCTGTCTAGTGCTCCCAGACTTTCAAAAGTTCTCCAACGGATGTCAATCTGTGGAGAATACCTCCCTGAGACTGATAGTGATTTGCTATTCGGAAGAACTAAGATATAGTCCACATAGCTTAAAGTGGTAATTATTTATTTTATTTTTTATTTTATATTTTATTTATTTTAACGGACTACAATTATCCAATCTAATAAGGTCATCCATCGTACAGGATTACTTTTTATAACGTATGAAATATCTTCGATAATAAAAACCCGTATCGCTGCATAACAGAGATACTATCAAGTGTCCAATACACACTACACAAGGTAAATTCATTTAAAACTGTTGCTTTAACAAGTTTATGCACTGAGTTATAGGGCTACTTGTTTGCAGTCCATTTACAAGAAAGTTAAAGAAGTTCATTGTCAAACGAAAGCAGAGCTTCATCAATGGACTTATAATACTTTCCCTAGACATATTTTTGATGTGAACTGCACAAAGCAGCAGAACTTTTCATGACGATTGTTATGATAGTCTCTTTCCTCTGAAATCTCTGCTCATATATATATTAGGCAAAAACAATTATGAATTGGCTTACAAAAGGCAACATCTATCTTCTACACTTACATATAGTATAAGGGGTAAGGCTTAGAGAATCCCAGTAAAAGCCTTTAAAAAAAACACCACAGCAAATGAAGTATACAGTGGTGTTGTGTGACATCAATCAAAACACAAAGCAATAAAAGGTTAGTGGTTAACATCCAGCAACAAACTCCTGCAGACATACACCCTATAGATGATGAATCAGTCTCTTGTCAAGCGAATCAGTCACAACAAGGCTGGGCCACAACAATACAAATGTTGCACAAATTAGAGGTGATAAATTCCAAATGTAGAATTTTTAATTTCAACAACCTGACCAAAACAGTTAAGACAGACATATTCCTCCCTTCAGGATAATTACAACAACTAATTGCCCATACTTATATCTTCAAATGTAGTAAATGTCTGACTGTATAATTTCAGCTCAACGGGATCCAATCGGATACATGCACAGAGCCAGTGTGTCATATAAAACGGATAGAAGTCGGGATTGAAACACTTTTCAAATAATAAAAGTAAGTTTCAAACACTCTTTACAAATGTATAACATCCAATTTTATTAACCTGCAAATTGTTTACTGACTCTATGCCAAGGTTTTTTTCAACTCTGTGGTAAGTGTTAGCGCGTAGTTCAGTCGATGGAACGCCCGACTGGTAATCCAGAATCCAATGTCTGGAATTATCCCTCTATATAACCCGATAAAAACCACCTTTAAACTGATTTTCAGGAATGAATGGCTTATCTTTTGAAAATTTTAAACTCTAACTTGTTGGCTTTTGACGTGTTCTTAAAAATGTCTTTATCTTCTAATCATAGTTCCCATTTCTATCGAAAGAACCATCAGCTTCACATTCTCCACACCGTAAACATTCTCTCATATCTAAACTACTTGTAAGTAGCTAAACAAATTTGTCAAAAACATGTGCGACAAAAGTTGAATTGCTGTAGGATGAAAGTTCTCTGCAGGTTATTTATTGATACCTGTAATTCCCCTTCGTTATATTGGAACGAATTACTCGACCTCTGTTAGTAGGCAGGTTTATATGCGAATGCCTTGATACTGTCGGATTATTCATTATGATGTGGTTTACTTACGGGGTTAACAGGGGAAGCTATTTGGCCCTTCATCATCTGGATTTACGTACACACTGTTCTCAATGTTACTCAAATCCAGTATACTTTGCATCAGATACTAAAGTGCTATCCAACAAGTCACTGAGGTAAAGTAGCCATCTTCTGTACAACGGGTATTTACTGATACTTGTAATAAGCAGTTACTCTGTAGATTGTTCGTTGAGTATTGCATTTCCTAATTTATGAATATCCATGCATATAAAATATTATGGAGCTTCTAACATAGTCAAACTGGCCGATGAGCTATTACTGGTTGTTATCAAGACTATGGAGGCGAACCATCCTACTTTATTTCATATCTGCTAGTCATGTCAGTAGATACTACGTACTATGAATTGATTCTGAATAAAAATAAAATGAATGTTTGAACACAATGGCGATCTTTCAAAAATATCGCTTGAAATATTAGACAGATGGACAGAAAAATCAGCATATAATCTTGCACAGAAGTGTACTGGTTCAAGTTGTCACACTTCACAGTAGCATACGTAGAACAAGTGGATAGAAAAAGACAGATGTCAAACTAGACAAAGTTGTGTGAGAGGAGATAAAAGTTAGTGCAAATGTCAGACAGTAGACACATCTTCTCCGTCACCAAGAATTCTGAACCACTGATTCCTACCATCTCAGAGACTTGAGTCAAGTAGTCTACTCCTCCCACCAGTGATCAAACGAAGTTAGAGACTTCATTGACTGATATCACGTCTTAGTCTAGCCATCCTGAACCCTCTTCCAACTTCTCTTAGTATTGCTCGCCGAAGAAGTTGGTGTCTGGACATGCACAACATATTTCGACAACACCTCTTTTGATGAAGGTTTACAACTTCATCGGTTGGCCTGCCTGTCTTTCCTAGTACCTTTCACCCGACCCCAACATTGCTCACACGGTGATTCCACTTAACGCGAGCAACGCTAGGAATAAACCCACAGTCAAAAACCTGTAACCGCTACGTGTCCTCCACTTTAAATGACCATATTTCACAGTCGTATAACAGGATAGAACGAACCCCAGGGTAGTATGAATGTCCACTGATAGGTAATAGAATATCTGGCCATCTGTTGACTGAATTGATGCAAGCTAGTGAGTGCCAAAGGACCCTTCTGTGTTCAAGCTGAAATGTCTTCAGCAGCCAACGCGTTGGCTTTGATGCAACTTACCAAGTAAGTGAAGTGCTAGACGCATTACAACACTTCACTTCCTATCCTTAAACTAGGAGGAATGGTCTCAGGCCAATTCAAAAGCAAGTGTAAAACTGCTCAGACAGAAATATTAACGAAGTTAAGATATGAACATTGAGTGTGAATGAACACTGAATTCAAATCTCTGTGTGTGTGTGTGTCTCACTGAAACTACTAGATATTTGTTTTCTCTTGAAATGAATTCCCAGTGATAAATGAACTTTGCGTAGATTTCGCTTATTGATACAACAGAAATTCTGAATCAAACAGCTATTAGAATGTTAGTGAATACAAATAAAATCCGTTGAAATAACATTTCGAGTTGTAAATCGCTAATTTATAGACTCCAAATCTGATGTAAATTGGTTGAAGGCAATCAGCATGAAGCTCTGGACCTGGGTTCCATGCGTGTTGGCACTTGTTAGCAGGGCGTATCTGCAACCTTCGCAGGACTGGTGTCCCACATACGATTCAAACACGAGTCATCAAGTGGCACAACCAATAACTCCACCATTGCGCTGTTCAGGCACAACTAACCTCCTGTAAGACTGGTTTATATGTAGTGAGTGGTGACGGACAGTGCAACCAATTTCATGTTGTCTAGTCCTGAATGTAGACTAAATCCTATCGATTATATTCGCTATGTGGCCACCATAAGGCCATAACTTATCTAAATCGTTACTTTAAAGGCAGAATAGTCTAGGTCTGAAAAAAATGCTGATTCATTATTAACGTTTCTGTCCTGCAGTTTAAAAAATAACAAAATAGATATTAATCTTGAAATAGTAGAGAATATTTGTAGCTCAAGTGGATGGTCTTGTTTTTATGTGTGTTCTCTGAAATTGGTTGTTTAGTCGTGGGGCTTTCATCGTCTTTCTAGACAGTGACATCTCCAGCACTAACTTCATTATGAAGTTTAAAAGTAGCATTACATATAATTTGAATTAAACTAGATTACATATACTTCGAGATGGTGGACCAGATCACAACTCAGAAATCACATAAATTTCTTGACTTTCAAACTCTCCGTAGATAAAATTCAGTCCAAATCTGTGAATCATTGGTTGACATCACTAGGAAAGAAGCGAAATCTTCAGCTCATAGACTTTTAGATAAATTTTCAGTATTCACCTTTAACCAAATTGCGTCAGGCGAATTAAAATATGAAATAACCTTAAATCATTCCCTCAAACATCTGTCCTAAATGTTGTATTCCGTAGTTAAAGTACCCATTAAAGAGTCATTCTGCTACTTACACATATACACAGATAGTAAAATAGTGGAAACTAACTCGTATCCAAAAGTTGGCTTTAAAAGCTACACGTAGTTTAAGTATAATCAAAGAGTTCATCAGCTTACCAACGTTGTGCACTCATGATTCTGCTTCACCGTCTTTACTCCAAGTTCACTTTCATTATTAAGTAAGATAACAATTAGATAGACAGCAATGTGGGAAAAGTAACGATAACAAGAAACAACTAGTCACAAACCAATTCATTAGGACAAGCTGCCGTACAACACACATCGAGATACTGACAGCTCACTTCATATTGAAGTTAGTTCTGATGATGTTGTCTAGAAAGATGATGAAAGCTTCATGATTCAACCATCCAACTAAGAAAAAGCAACACAACCAACATCATCAGTCTGAGCTACAAATATTCTCCACCATTTCAAAACGGTATCATGGCTTTTTTAACATACTACACATTTAATTAGCTAGTTGCAGTCTACAAGTCGGTGAAAAATGAGGACTACACTCTTAGCTGTGGATGAGCGTTATAAAATTGGAACAGGTAATTGTACTTGAACCAATCGTACAGTATGAAGTCAAAGGAGATTGATTATTGCCCGAAAACTGAACTATATAATCTTCAGCAAAATGTCAACCTTCCTTTTCAAAGGTAAATACAGTCACTGAGTCAAAGGTGTCAGCTAAAACGATTAACTTCTACTATTGTGATTAACTGATTATTCAGTGTGAAGTAATGTCCATTTTCTGAATCCAACCAACAAGAAGCTTCGAATCCAGGATTTGTAAGGCCAGTTACCATTAGGTAATCTGTAGCTGACCCTTCCCAAAGACAAGTTACCAAATTATCAATCACTCCACAAGATGACACAGTTACCACGTGGTTATATGGTGGCTAAGTGACTCCGGTTCAACCAGAATGTGTTTGTTTTCGTAATGAGTATTTCTGTTTGAAAACAGGTGTGAAAGGTAGTAATAATGCCCTGTTTATATGTGTCATTAGATTTGAGGTTTAGAGGTCTACGGAATCCCTCCTCACTACTTAGAAATATTCAACACAGCATACATTGAGTAACTTTTGATAACTACTACTTAGCAAAGGTAGTCAGAAGAACTCAGTTGGTACTGAAGGCAAGGTATTAGAAAATAAATCGAACTACCGAAGGAATTTTTGGGCCTAACCTTCATGATTGTTGGCGCTCATCAGTAAACCATACCCGCAGTTTCCAAAGAAATGATGTCCCCTCCGAGAATCTAACCTCTGTCACCTGGTGTTATAGTTAGTGACGCTACTAGTGAGTCACTCGGACTGCAGTTGTCCTCCTTTAGAACTGGGTTACATCCTTCGACTTTTCAGCCGAGAGTAACCAATTTCATGTTATCTAATTACAAATAATGACCGAATTGTTCGGATTACTTTGCACTGTCTTCACTAAGCACTAGGTGATGCAGAATTCAGTCTTACAGGGATTTTAAGTTCAGTCAAGCTTACAGATACGCCTTGCTGACGAGTCCCAACAAGCATGAAATTCAGGTTCAGGGCTTCATTTCGATTGCCTCTAGCCAACTAACATCCGTCTTACTGCATCGTGATGGTGTCTTTTAGCTTAGTGACCACTTTCCGAGGTGTTTGGTGGAAATTGGTCAGTACATGGAACTAGAAAACGTGAATTAAGTTAGTCTCTAGTGCCTAATCACTATGCTGGATGATATTTTTGAGGAAACTAGCTAGAAAACTCCTAATTTTTGTCAAAAATGTATGCCAGAAGGAATTCAACCAACAAGATAATGTGTTTTGATGTTTGTGGGGATTTACTGATTTCAGGTTGGTATTCATCATGGACTGACATCAGTTGGAGTGCTGACCACAAAACTCGAAGCTTGTGGGTTCGATTACTGGTGAGGTCACGGGTGTGCACTGCTGAGGAGTTGTTGGTTGGATATGCCTGCCTCCTATTGAGCGATCATTCAACTGCGGGATAATACAAGAAATAACGTGAAAACTCTACGCACCGCTCAAGAAGTGGCTACCGTAGTTCGGCGGCCTAGTGCGTAGCGTTACTGTATTTGAAACGATAAGTCCCAGGTTCCAGTTTAAATGAAAATAACATCAGTCACTGGAGGGAAGGTGCATCCAGCTGATAAGTCTCAAAAAGGGAGCGAAACGCCTCCTGAGTTCCATTACTAGCCAATATCCATCATTATAGCAAGTTTACGACCACACAAGTTCTAGCTCAATTGCTTGCTTCTCAAAAACAAATGTAACAACACCAACTGGAATTGACTGGTCAATTTAAGACCATCTAAAAAACCTGCCAATTAGTGTCAGACAACTTTCTCCACTTGCATATACACTAAATTTTAAATAAATCCAATCATAAAATGTGTGAATCCTACTAGTATCCACACTCTATATTGCTCATCTTTCATCCTACTGAAAGCTTTCATTATGTGTCGTGAAACATATGGATTTTGTTTGTTTAAATAACATGCTTATGTAGTACAAGTGCGTATGTTATGATTTATTATTATCTGTAGATAGTAGTGACCCGATCACTCATCGATATTCAGTTCACCGTCAACCTGTTAAAAACATTTCAAAACCTACTTGCAGTATCGCCAGAGGTATGTTTACCTAACTAAAACCGAAGAAGAGGTAACCAGGGTTATTAGTTTGTGCATTATATAGCTTTTTGCTGAAAAACTCCCCTGCTTAGCTTTTTTGTGTGGTAGTGTTGAATAAATTTCAAACTTATTTGAGTTTATATACATGCCAGCTGAAGGTCATGTCAGCAGGTGCGTATGTGTGTGAGCGCGCTTTTTCCTGTGTATTCTTTTCAGTGTGTGAATTCTGTCAAAACATTAGTTGATAAACATTTGCAGCAGCTAATGAATGCGGTGATTAACCATAGCTAACAGTAGCAATTGACACCATTACTATTATTATTATTATTATCATTGTTACTATTATTATTATTATCATCATCATCATCATTGTAGAAACTATTATTACTCAAACTGTTCATTATTCTCATTTATAGTGCAACCAATTACCTAATATGTTCATCTTACATCTATCCGAAAGCTATTTGACAAAAATTGTAGAAAATCACATATTAAGGTAGTCAACTTACTACTTATTAAAAATCATAAGTAGTTTGAAGGTGAAAATTTCAGTTGATAGAATGTAGTTTAGCTGATTAAAACAAATGCTCTTAGATAAATAGTTATGAGTTTTGAACCAGCTGAAATTATATTAACTCACACTGACTGCATTAATGTCTTCATCACGAAAGGAGTTATCGTTTTCTTGCTGGACAGAAACTACTCATATCAGCTATTAGTATGTTCCGGAAATACCTCATTTTACGACCCACTTCGGATTTATTCCATATCAAATCTTAGTTTTACAATTCTCTGTTCGCTTTTTGTCACCGCTTACTTTGACATGCCATTCTAGGGGATATTGTATTAGGTTGGGGGAGGGTTCAGAGTGGCCAGACCTGTCACTAATTGGTGAAGTCCCTGACTGTTGGCCTGAGCAGTGGTAGGAGATATAGACTGACTGCTTATGGTCTCGGAGACGAAAGGAATCAGTGGCTGAAGACTCTTGGTGACATGACTGAAAATCGTTCATAGTGGCGGAGATTTATTCACTCCTTGAAATCTTCTAAAGCTTGAATATTCACACTAACCTTTATTCTCAGATTGTTTATTCTCTCACTATATTATCCACTCTTCGTGCACTACCATGAAGTGTGGCAAATTGAGCCAATGCATCTGTGTGCGATATTCTACGTTGATTTCGTCAGTCGGTTCCAGTATCGCCTTTGTTTTAACTTGATGTGTCGTTCTAACAGAATGATATTAAATGGTCAATGATTTAGCATTATTCTGTAATTTAACACCAACAAGTAGCTTTTAAATGTTGGATTTTACTAGATATATTAAAGACGTATATGAGTAAATACTTTACCACATATATTATAACCACTTACCGAAAAAAGTACGTGGAATGAAATCTGGAATAACAACCGATGTGACTCGATATTTTTAATGGAGGATCAAGCTAGTGAAGCTGTTTACGAAGTTGTCTCATTTCTCATTGAAATTTGTATGGGCGAAATTGACTTGCCTACAAAGACAAAAACCTAGTGTTCTCCATTTTTCACCTGATGTGTATATCATACATACTGAAATTAAACAGAATGTTAATGAACTGTTCAGATAAATTACACTAAAGACAGTTGGAAACCTATGTAAATAGATTTGAAAGCGCAAGAAATGGTAAATACTAATTATTAATTATCTTTCCCTTGAGTTCCAAGTGGAACACACGGCTTCAGTAGCACGTCTCCATTGCACTCTCTTCTCTGCAATCTTTTGAACCTGGCTCCACGACAACCAACAAGCTCTCATTTCCTCCTCACACGATCTCCTCCATATCACCCTTACCTCGGACGCCAAACTCGTCGCTTCCCATCGGGGTTCCACTCGAGCAATTGGCCTGACGCGTGATGTCTCCAGTCGGCCTTCTCAGTGTATGCCCAATCCATCTCCACATCCTTCAACTGCATATTTGTTGAGTGATAGGTTCTTGGTTGGTTCGTTCCCAGAGTTCCTTGTTGTTTATTCTTTCTGGACATCTGGTCTTCACTATCAAGTGAGCGTAGGCAGTTGTTGATGAATATCTGTAGTTTGTTGGAAATCCCTTTCGTAACGTGCCAAGTCTCTGAGCCATACAGAAGCACTGATTTGACTGAATTGGTGTTGAAAATCCGTATCTTGTTCCGCATGCTGAGTGCAGGAGATCTCCACACTGGTTTCAGGCTAATGAACGCCTGTCTTACTGTCTTTCCGATCCTGACTTTGACATCCTCGTCTGTGCCACCGCCTGTAGATGAAACGATGCTGCCCTGTGTAGGTGAAGGAGGCTACTTCCTGTAAGTTTCTCTCGTTCATGGTGATTGGAGTTTGTTGTTGTTGTTGGTCGGGTATCTTCATCACCTCTGTCTTCTCTATATTCACTTGAAGTCCCATCTTTGCTGCCTTTTCTGTCAACTTGTTAGTTTTCACCTGTAGATCTTCGAGTTTGTGTGACAAAAAAATTACACATAAATCATCATCATGCGCAAAATCTAAATCTGCTAGGCTCTTTTCATCGGTCCAGCGTATGCCCCTCTTCTCGCTCCTCACGGTTTGCTACGTGATCCATTCCACCACAATCAGGAATATCATGGGTGATAGTAGGCAGACTTGTCTTACTCCTTTCTTCACTTCAAAGGCGTCGCTGAGCTTCCCACTGTGGATCACTCAGCATGTGGCCTTTTCATATAGTTGTTGAATGAGGTTGATAAAGACAAGTGGCACTCCGTAATGTTGAAGCAACTGCCGAAGGTAAATATCAGTAATGTGACTCAACCCAAAACGTCTGTTTATGTGCCAGGCCATAAGTTGTTTGCACTTATTAAGTATTCAATCACTTCGGATGAAGTACGTAAAAAGGATCAAGGCTTGGAACAAATTGACAGAAACCCAAGTGTTTGAGTCAGTGAGCCATCCCCTCGTCTGTTCATGAGATAAGCTTAACAGCGTGTTTTTTAATAATGTGATGTTGCATTGCTTGCAGAACATACCATAAGGCCTAAACAACTAGTTCTAACGGTGAATATCGATGACTCCATTTTCAGATGCTCGGTACAAAATGCATAAGCGAGGAAATGCCCGCGGGTTAATCGCGATAGCATATTGCGGTATGCTCCTATCCGAAACTGACTCTAAAACTGTCTTAAAAAGCCACCGAGTAAAACACAACATGATATTTCATTACAACTTCAAGTTTTGTCTTTAAACAACCCCACCCCCACCAAAAACAAACAGGCCAATGTATTATTCGAGAGAAAATTCCGTGTTAGACAGTGTTCAGAGTATTCGAAAGTTTTCTCACTTCAACTGTCTACTTTGCTGACATTTTGAATTCTACGCACCAAATATTAAGATGATTTGTGCAAATGAATAGACAAACGAAGACAAAGAAATGAAAAACAATCACTAAGTATGACTTTGACGCAGAAATTGGACAAATAAACAAAGTGTTGAAATATTGATTTCAAATATGGATCAATAAATGGCCACAGTCAAAGCAGTCTGGAAATTGTTGTGAAAGCGATTAATTATACGGATACAATAAACCACAAAGAAAAAACTACCACGATATTATGTTGTTTTAAGGTAAAACTAGACTCTTACAAGTTAAGGTATCGACCAAAACAATTGGTCGAGTGGGAATCTTCCCTGTTAGGAAAATTTTCCCGATAAAGAATGAAAATAACGCCAACATGCGTGACCTGTTTATCCCTATTCATCAGCGAACACAAGTAACTTCATCTATTGTAACTCTTCGACTACCCAAGAGAACAATGGTTCCCTTAACGTTATGGGTCTTCCTTACCGAAGACAGTCAGTAAGCATGAAACCCATCTCCTGGAAGTTCTACCGACTGTATTGCATTATCGTCAAATTTTGTAGTTACGTTAAAATCTCAACATTATTTTGGCCAATCCAATCGTCGAATAGGTTGAAGTACTTACGGGAATCAACCTGCAGTCAAATGATGCACGTGGATGATTACACCCACAACTTCTATTGGGACAACGTGCGAGTATTACAATAAGCAAGCGGAAGAACTTCAAGAGCGTTCCTGAGTGCATGATGCTTCAACAGAACAGCAATCCATAGATATGTGAGCATTACCCCAAAATACAGATAACTAAGAAGGGATCAATCAGCTAGAAATCAGTAAACAAACACTAGGTCAAAAAGTGTTATAAAGATCAGCCTCTGGTAAGAAGGAAAGACAGGTCATCCCTACCAACGGACCAATAACGATCAAGGCCGGGAAATGTCCTTCATAAACATCCAGACAACATGTGAATATTTCACTTCTATCTTGAATAAATACTGACCAAGTTGCTAGAATATTGATGAAACGTCCAAGAACAAACCCCAAAGCTTGAAAAACATCAAACAGTTATCATCCTAAGTTATAGTTACTTTCTCAAACTGAAATTATGCTGAAAGTTGCTCAGGGAGGAATAATGCTGACAATTCTTATGGCAAGCTTCCACATGGACTATCACAGTTGAGCGATTTACATGGAGTATGATCACTCTATCCATTCCAATGTAACTATGTCTGCGACATGATAAGGTAGGTCAAGTCACAGAAGAGTCTTTAGCAAATTTAGAGTACGAAGTCAACATAGTCCTTTTAGGTGACTATGCTGACAAAATGTCGAGTCTTCCAGACACATTGACGAATGGAAAATGTTTAGAATGTTTTTCAACTCCCAAATGAAAAACATTCTTTTTGGCCTGGGCTGCACCAGTATCTCACCTAAAGATGAAGGTGGAGTGGTTGGGCCCTATGATCAGCCCTGGTAAGCCTGTAGCCGATGAAGTCTCAGCACAGATCCAAAAGACTGAACTGGACTTTGCCACTTTAGACTACTTTCAGCATCGACGAAATATCCGAATGTATACTAATTGCCGCCTAGTTTGTGCAACAGTTCACTCCATCTTTCTATCTGACTGAAACATGGTGGTTTGAATTGGAAGACAGATCGC